GGAGGTAAAGAGGGGTTTGTAGCTCTAAAGGTGGATATGAGTAAAGCTTACGATAGAGTGAGTTGGAGCTTCTTGGAGAAAGTTATGGGGTGGATGGGTTTCGACACCAGATGGACTGGGCTGATAATGGAGTGTGTTAGCACGATTAGCTACTATGTTCAGTTCGAAAGGGGTTCGCTGGGGCCGATTGTTCCGGGAAGAGGTCTGAGACAAGGGGATCCTTTATCTCCATATTTATTTATTTTAGTGGCAGAAGGTCTGAGTTCTTTGCCGAGGAAGGCCGAAAGCAAAGGAGAATTAAACGGGGTGACGGTCTGTAGAGGTGCTCCGAAGGTATCACATTTATTTTTTTGCAGATGATAGCTTTTTATTTTTTAAAGCTAAACCAACAGAATGTGACACAGTTAAAAAGTTTTTAAATTATTATGAAGAATTATCGGGGCAGGTGGTTAATTTTGCAAAGTCCACGGTTAGTTTTAGCTCTAATATGGCTGAGCAGACTAGAGATATGTGTAGACAGAAGTTGGGAATTTTTGTTGAGGGAGAGCATGGGCGGTATTTGGGTTTACCAGCAATGGTAGGAAGAAATAAAGGAGCTATTTTGGGGTACCTAAAAGATCAAATTTATAATTTGATAAAAAGCTGGAATGACCGATTTCTTTCAAGGGTTGGGCGAGCGGTCTTGCTGAAAAATGTGGTACAGGCGATGCCTTCATATGCTTTGAATGTGTTCCTATTGCCAAATGACCTGTGTGATGAGATAGAAAAACTTTTGAATGAAATTTTAAACACAAAAGGAGTCTATCCAGGTAATTTGCACTATATATTAAATCTATTTTGAGAATAAAAAAAGCGCAATCCTAATGTGGAATTTTGGGCTACTTTTAGTCCAGTTGGGCTAATACCCGTTTTGTGTACAAATATAATTTTGGGAATTTTTCACAAGTGAACCAAAAATTGAAAATAATATCACTTTTTTCACTTTTTATTTTTCTTTTCAAAAATAGTCTAGCTAACATTTCCTTTCAATAATAGACCTCTCCAACGGTAAAACCACCTCACCCGTGTCTCACTCTCAAGTATACGGACTACGGAGTATACTATCTAGTGCTACTAAATGTTGTACGTGCCATTGCAACTTTTTTTTTTGAAGCACGTGTCATTGCAACTTAGTAATTCAAGTTTTTTTTGAAAGGTTAGAAACTGAAGAATTTTAAAATAAAAAAAGTTGAGAACTTCAAAAAAATGATATAAAGATATAAAGAATATGTATAATTGTCAACTTTCTGAATCTCAGAAATTATGAAATGATAGATTGATAAAAGGAAATACAATATTTAAATTAAAAGATTTGATTTATTGAAAAAAGCATGCAAATGATTAGAATAGTAAAAAATGATACAAATATTATAAAGAAGTATTAAAACTATAAAATTTATAGGAAATAAAAAAATATGAAAATTCCATGATTCAATTTTTATCTGTATGTCCATTTTATAAAAAAAACATTTATAAAATATAAAGAAAATGAAAATAATTTAAAAAAACACTAAAAAATAAGAAAAGAGGGATAATATAAAATTCGAATTACAAAATTGCAAATTAAATATTAAAAATAAAAAATGAATTTAAATATTTAAGAAAATCATAAAAAGGTATAAAAAATGTATAGCCAATATCAAAAATACGGAATTCAAAAATAAAAATGAAAAAAGCTTAAAACAGTTTACCATGTGGGAAATTGTAAAAGTCCCATTTTTTGTAATGTAATTTTTCAAAAGAGTTCATATATTCCGTACTTTTATATAAAAAGGTTAAATACATAAAAACAATTTTTTTTATAAAATTATCAAAAATAAGGAAAGTATTTAAATTATAGACAAAGTGTGTGATATTTGATGATTTTTATGAAAAGGATAATTTTTTTAAAGCGGGAATACATAAAAACAAAAAATCTATTTTTCTTAATAAATATATAATTTTGAAAAATTGAAAAAAATCACGTAAAATTCATAAAATAAAAAGAGACAATAAAATCTTAAAATGAAAAACAAAAAAATAAAACTTGTATAAATTAAGGACCTGGGAAAAAACTTGTGAAAAAAGAAAATAAAATGTAAAAAAAATTATAACCTATAAAATTAGAAGAAGGAAAAAATGTGATTTTTGCAACTATTTAAAATGGTTACAAAATGTACAATTTATTAGTTTTGTTTCCAATTGTTTCTTTGTGTTTATTTTTGTTGATAACTTTATTTGTTTGTTTTTTATTGTTTCACCACGTTTCTGGTTGTTCCTAATATTAATAATTCCAAATTTATCATTTTAGGTGTTCATATATATACATATTGCATAAAGAAAAAGTTACTACATACAAATGAAAACATAGATAAAATATAAACAGCATGAATAAAAAAGCTATAGTTCAAAAAATCAATAAAAAGCAACATTGCAACAAACAACAACAAGATACAACAAAAAGAAACATGGTGCAACAAAAAACAACACACAAAATGCAATAAAAAGAAACAAAAAAAATATAAAAGTATCACAATAAATATATAATGAATCTGTTATTTCAATGCCATTGTAAGTATAAATAAATAGAGCGCGTTTCTGAAATCATCAATTAAATGGTTGTTAGAGGGTGTACATTACCAACAAGTAGACACTTCATGGAATGTAATAGCTTTGGATTGGGTTTTATATCAGCATCCTATGGACACGTCACAACATTCAAGGTTCAAGTAGGACAAAGTCTTCAATATTAGTCCGGCAAAATTGCTGCATAATCAATTAGAACCTGTAATATTACAACCATCATTAGATTTACAGTAAATTAAATGTATTCTAGTTTTTTTATATATTCATAAATCTAAATTTATAATTTTAAGTGTTTGCACACAAATCTATATAAGATTTTTTATTTTTTATTTTCAGGAAGTAGCCAAGATAAATAAAAACCTAAATATTAAATAACAAACAAAATCAACAATAAACAGCAATAAGCAACACATTGCAACAAAAAGCAACAAGATACAGCAAAAAGAAACACAATGCAACAACATGAAACAATAAACACATAAACATATATCACAACTGATATATATTTCAATCAAGTATTTAATTCATTATATCTATCTATTATATTATTTGGCATTGTTTGATCACATTTCTTCTTCTTTGTATGCATCTTAAGTCCTACGCCGATTCCATCAAAATTGTCTCTCGTTTCTTACCATTTTAGGCGATTACATATCTATAAATGATTTTTTGATTCCAAAGATGTAACAAAGATATATAAGTAGGAACCTAAATAAACAACGAAAATCAAAGTCAACTATAAACAACAATAAGCAACAAAATGCAACAACAAGAAACACAATGCAACACAATGAAACAAATATAATGCAACAAAAAGCAACAAAAGATAACAGATAAAACTATCACAATAAATATATAATTCAATTGATTACATTTATCAAGTATGTTATTTGGCTTTGCTTCTTATCATATTTTCTTTTAATACATCTTAACACATAATTTCTCAGATTTGTCTCTCTTGTCTTCTTTTTCTCATTGATCCTCCTAATTTTATTATCACCTCATGTGCTTCTTTTCTTTTTATGCATCTGCAATGAAAATATAATTACTATAAAATGACAATAAAATAAGCAATCGTAGCATAGTAATTTTCTATAACAATTCACTTCAACACTTGGAAGTATACAATTATTAAAACTGTGAAAAGTAAGAATACAATTGCTATGATGAGACTATTAAAAGTGATTAACTGTTAATTTCCCTTTTCCTGTAACAAATCTCCCACAAGTTTGCAATAAAAAATGAAGCTACTATAAAAAAACAACCTATAAAATGAAGCTACAATAAAATATTATTGAACATGTAATGTTCCTAATCATACTGATCATCAATCCATAAGCATGAAATAAGATGGACTGAACTATATATGTTCTTCCACCTGATCAAAAACATCTTTAACTGCTTTAGAATAAATTTAACACCTGGAAGTCCTTTAACATCTTTTAATGCATCACTTTTCTATAAATTTAGCATCTGCTTTAGAATTAATTTAACATCTGGACCTATAAATTAAGTCTCACATTGAGTCTAACACCCTTCCCTTGAAAGCTATGTATTTCAGGAGCATCAAAGCCTCATATACCCACTATTGAAAAAGCAAATCCTAGAAAGACCAAATGGATATAGGTTCATCAAATGCATCACAAACATGTTGTTCTCCCTTTTTTGCTAAACATTAGCCTAATGATTGCAGCTTCTGAAAGCATATGACCTCATGCAAGCTTCTTAGAGTCACCGTTAACTACACTCAAACAATTCTGATACAAATATGTTAAAGTCTCTCTCACCAAATGAATCTTCTAATGCTCTATGATATACCAATTATATAGTCATAAAATCATTTGGGATAAACTCAAATGTTTAGGATAGCAATATGACATTTAATTAAAAAGTTAGATAAGAATAACAAGCCTATCTGCAATCAATTGACAGTTTGCAAACCGTTTGATATAATAGATTTATGTTCGTTATATTGAAGAGGATAAATGGGAAAAAATATAGCACAACAACTTGCAAGGAAATAAACTCTAGAACAAAAATGAAAGGTAATGTTATAGGGGACAATTAAGCAAGCAATTCAATCGCTCCATTATCTCTAATTTCGAAAAAATCAAAATGTCTTGTGCATAGAAACAAAAAAAGGGCGAGAGCTGTCGAATGGTTAATCGATTCGCCAACAATGTTTGAAATTCGCATATTAAAATGCTAAGATATATAGATAAATCATAGAGAGCAAGCAAAACCGAAGAGCATACCGATGAGTAGAATCAATTGAGGAAATCTATAGAGTAGCAAGAGAAAAAATGAGGTGCATCTCCAACTTGGAGGAGGAGGAGGATGACGTGGTGCGAGCAATCTAGATGAAGCTTGAAGGAATTCGGTCTAGAGGAAGCAAAGTCCTTGAGATTCATTCCATTGTCTTTCACCAAAGGTAGGACTAATTTGGTCTTCTCTCTTTCGAGCCTGGAGAGCGCCAACTCGATCGTCTGGTTGGCAGATGATGGTGGGACGAGGAATTCGAATAGAAATCCATCGGCGATGCTCAACCACGGCCATGGGATTCACTTCTCTGAGAAGAGAGCTGAAAGTCCATCCGATCTCCCGTAGGACAAATCTCCCGTCGACTTTGCCATATTTTCACCAGAAACGATGATCGGTAATCTCCCCTGCGCCTATCCCAATATTACTCTACTTATGGAAGACGTTAGCAGACATGACTAAAAGTGAAATAAAAAAATCAAAATTGAAAACAGAAAAGGTTAAAAATGAAAAGGAAAAACAGTTGAGCCATAAATGATATAATGACACCACACCCGTAATTAGCACTATAATTTTCCGGTTTGAATAGGTCCATTTTATCAATTCGGCTCCGATCTGGGTTGAACGTAATTCGGCTCCGATCTGGGTTGAACGTCATATCTACTTTCACCTCCATTTTTATGTTTTCATCAAAGCCGTCTATCGCGATCTGAACTCCATCTCCATTCGTTAGTCCATCTTTCTTCTTCTTACACCAATCGTCACCACTTCGATTCTACCTACACACTTCTCCATCAACGATCCGCGATGTATACTTAAGCGTTTACCACCGTAATGGCTGCTCGCTGGACCTCAACCCCAGGAAACTGTTTTGACTAAGAGTTCGCCAGAAACGACAGAGCCGTCGGGATTAAGGTCGCAGGTAAATCATCTATCTGATTTATTCCCATGTCACCATTCATTGTCCTTAATTTTATAGTCTTAACGATTAATTGTATCTTAAGGTGATAAAGATGCTGCGATGTTTGCGTTTTTATTTTGTTTTATTTTAATAGCTGATTCAAATAAGCTGTCATTTAAATTCATTCTTCATTTTTTTACTTTTCCTTTGAAAAGGGGTGACCTTTATCGCACGATGAAATCGTTTTTTTCTACATCAATGACATGGTTATGGCCTCAGGAAATTATCTATTCTAGTCAACCATATAGAGATGGAAAATAAGTGATAATATTAACTCCAGTAGTTATACACACGAGTACATGACTCTATTTATATAAGGCTTCTACACCAGTCTAGCTAGAAAATAACGGTGATAAGAATGCCTAACAATATTATCTGATAAGAATTGCCAACTATCATATCTACAAGTGTTGCTGTATGTGACGTACAGATGTACATAAATAATAAATAATATTTTGCTTCATTACGCCCTGCAAGATGGAGGTTCCATTGGAAACTCCCAGCTTGGACCGAAATCGCTCAAATGGGACTTTGCCAAGTGGTTTCGTCAAAATGTCAGCAACCTGAAATTTATCAGAGATATTATGTACTGCAAATTGACCATTTTCAACAAGATCACGTACAAAGAAGAAGTCAAGTGCCACATGTTTCATCCGAGAATAGAATACTGGGTTGACACATACAAATGTAGCACCCTGATTATCACACAAGAGTTGAAGGGGACTTTTTCAAATGAACTCCGAGCTCAGATAAAAGGTGTCGGACCCACAAGATTTCTGCACTCACATGAGCCACCGCCCTATATTCAGCTTCAGTAGATGAACGGGCTACACTTTTCTGTTTAGCAGATTTCCATGATATAATATTTGAGCCGAGATATAGGATGTATGCTGTAGTAGATTTCCCCCCATCATGTATGCCGCCCCAATCAGAATCCGAGAAGGCAGTAAGTGTTAGAGGGGAGGAACGTCTGAGATAGAGGCCATGATTGAGTGTGCCTTTTAAATATCTGAGGACTCTTTTCACCCCCTGCCAGTGAGTTTCCGTTGGTGCATGCATATATTGAGACAACCGGTTAACTGCAAATGATATGTCGGGTCGGGTAAAGGCCAAATAGTGTAGAAGACCAAGTGTTTTACGGTATTGCCTTTGATCCGTGAGAACCGTCCCATCAGTGAGGTGAGGTGGTGAACTGGAGCTCATGGGGGTTGCTGCTTCTTTTGCTCCATCCATGGAACATTCTTCTAAGATGTGAAGAATATATTGGCGTTGACTGAGAAACAGGCCATCTGGATGTGAGATAGATTCAATGCCTAGGAAGTAATGAAGTTGACCGAGATCTTTAACAGAGAACCTGCATGTAAGCTGTTGAATAAACTTCTCCAGAGCTGTGGAGTTATTTCCTGTCAGAACAATGTCATTGACATAAACAAGGAAATATAGTACTCCCTCCGTCCCGAAATAAATGTCCTGCTTTTCTTTTCGGTCCCTCCCAAAATAATTGTCTTGTTTCCTCTTTTGGCAATAATGGGTGGCTCATATCAATTCACCTTTTTCTATTCAAATCTCAACCACAACTTTTACCTTTTCAACCACTTTCTTAAAACTTGTGCAAAAGCAAACAAGACAATTAATTCGGGACGGAGGGAGTAATATAGAGTTATGAGAGTAGATAAACAGTGACGCATCGGCCCTTGATTTCCGAAAACCAGAGGAGAGGAGAAAGCGGGACAACTCAAGATACCAAGCATGAGATGCTTGTTTTAAGCCGTAGAGAGCTTTATGCAAGTGACAGACATGTGTTGGGTGAGCGGAGTCCTTGAATCCAGGAGGTTGTTGCATATATACTTCTTCAGATAAAGACCCATGTTAAAACGCATTATTTATGTCCATTTGGCGCAACAGCCAGTGATTAGATAATGCCAAAGATAATACAATGAGAATGGTTGCCGGCTTTGTTACGGAACTGAATGTTTCGGCATAATCTCGGCCGGGTTGTTGTAGGAAACCACGGGCGACTAAACATGCTTTAAAACGAGCTACCGAACCATCCACATTTCTTTTAACACGGAATAGCCACTTACATGTGATAGGTTGATGATTAACTCGAGGCACAAGGCTCCATGTGTTGTTTCATCGAAGTGCCGCCATCTCCTCCTCCATAGCTGCACGCCACCTTGGATCAGCTAAGGCAGCCTTCACACTAACTGGTTCCAGATTAGGGGTAATCGGGTGACAAGTAGTTTGGTTTACAAAGGGGCTACCAAAGTATTTTGGGTTGGGAATTCTAGTACGTGTGGGGCGAGGAGTTGTGACAGTATGAGGAGAGGGTTGAGGAGTGTGTATTGTAATATGTTGGTCGGTAGAGATGTTATGAGGTGGAGATAAAATAGTGGTGTCATTGAATGTATTAGAGTTATTGGGAGTATAGGAAGTGGTGATGGATGTAGTGGAGTTGGGATGAGGTGTACTGGATGGATAAGTATTGGCAGTTATGTGGGAGGTGGATAAGGGGGGAGAAGGATGAGTGTTATTAGTTTGCCGAGGTGGAGTATAAAAGGTAGAGTTTGGTTCTATATAGTTCACTAGACTGTTCTCACTTTTAGTCTTCGTATAGTTTTGTCAATCGGTATTGACACTTTTGATACCAGTATTTGAATTTTCCACATGTAGTCCTCTGGCTGTTGTGGTAGACTCTTTTGGCACATATTTTTGAATTTATCCATTTTAGTCGTTTGACTATTCTTAGAGTGACACTTTTGCTCGTCACCTTTGAATTTTGCAACCGTATTTGGTTCAACCAAAGTGTCACTGTCATAATAGTTGAAGGACCAAAACTGTTTTAGTTACTATTGGCAAAAGACTAAAAGTGTAAAGTTAAAAAACGGGTACGGAGTACTAAAAGGGTCTCCGTCACAATATTCAGATGATTAATAGTTGAAAAATCAAATGCGGGTAACGTCGGGTATTGAAAATGTCAGTACAGCATTAGTTAGAGGACCAACAACATCAACAACATACAGGCCTTAGTCCCAACAGATTTTGGGATCGGCTAAGACGAATCGATACATGATATGGGAGCCAAAAGGAAATAAAAAATAAGAAAGATAAAAGCATAAGGTATGACAAAAAGATAAAAAAAGATACGATAAAGTTGTAGATACTAAAAGTGGATAAAATTCCCACTCAATATATTTTCCTATCTATGAGAAGTACATATTGTACACTTGAGTACTTGACTGTCAATTGTTCATGTCTCTAATTCACCATTTTTTGTATTTGTGTGAATTAATGATAACCGAATTGGCGAATTGTCAGAGCATGTTATATGTAATCAAATATGTGTTGCATTTATGGAACTCCGACCCCAACGAGGCCGTGATGATATTTTGATCTGCTCTTCTCTCTGTCTGGGCTACGGATTTTAGGACATTCGGGATGACCCGACCTGTATCTTGGCGTGGCAATCCGGAGCTGTGCCCTGTGATTTGCAGCCATGGCAGTGTCGGCTTCCTGTTTGTCCCGTTGAGAAGCAGATCTGAGCCTCAATATCTAAAATACACTTAGATCTGTCTGGATTTTGGTTTTGTAGTTTTGTTATCGTGACCTATTTATTTTCTCCACTTGTTTACTCAATGACGAGTACAAAATGATCTTATAAAGGTTGCAGGTTTTCAAAATGGAGGCTAGAACATCAAGTGTTAATGGGTTCTGAGAATTTATATTGTCTTTCCTGGTGTCTAGACAGCCAGAGTGGTATGAAGGCAGTAATCACACAGAGTTTCCACTTTCTATAAAATGCTAGACCTACTAAGCACTTAAACTCTTAGAAAATGGTGCATTTTCAGTTTAAATACTCTATAAATCTCTTCGAAATTTCTTTAAACAGATGTTTTTCTGTTGAGATGATGTTTTTGTTTCACATTTTCATGAAACGGCTCTAGAAAGTTCATTTCTTTTTATGTGTTTCCTTGCTCTATGTGCTTGTTCTTTATTCCTTCTTTTCCTTTTGGTTGTGATATCATGTATCGATTCATGTTAGCCGACCCCAATATCTTTTGGGACTAAGGCTTGGATGTTGTTGTTGGATGTTGTTGTGTGAATTAATGATAACCGAATTGGCGAATTGTCAGAGCATGTTATATGTAATCAAATATGTGTTGCATTTATTTGTCACATTGGTTTTACTGTTATTTACTTGTCTATTTATGTTCTAGATGGACTCAAATTCTGAACATACTCATGCCCTTCCTTCTTCATGTGCGTTATGTATGAGAATCCTGACATCTGACAATGACACCAGTGACTTTGAAGCTGTAAACATGTGTAGTGATTGCAAGTTCTTGCTCCTAGAAGATCTTGATTCGCCCATGAGAGATGTGTATCGGTGGAGGTCATTTGGGCTAAGAAGAACAAGGTATAACAGCAGTTCTGAGTCCATTGAGAATCTTTTTCCACAACAGTTGCCACATATGCTAAACGTGGCAAGGGAAAACCAGGATAATATATTCACAAGCTCTCGGGCAACCCCCAGTGGATCTAGGAGGTGGAGGAGGGTGCTCTCTGATAGTGAAAGTGATGGAATTGAGTCAGTCATTGCAGAGAGTGAATCAAATGTCAGCTTTAGTGGCCATTACAGGGTTATGCATGTCGAAAATGAAACCATGTCCTATGCAGGGAGCTCGAGTGCTTCTATTGATGGTAGTAGCTTACTTGACGTTGAAACTAAGAATAACTACAAAAAAAATTAGTAGTTAATAATTCTTCTTACGGGAGTGAATGAGTCATATTTTCTCGAAAAAATGACGACAATGGATCTACTTGAAGAATTGTGTTATGTTTTGTTCATACTTATGGAATTCTTCCTTGAAATCCCCGTCCTAAATGAAACCATATCCTATGGTGGGAGTTCAAAATTCAAATGCTTCTTTCAATAGGGCTAAAATTTGAGAAGTTAATGTAAATAGGGCTAAAATTTCATGTACATGACTTCTTTAGCATTAAGAAAGAATAAACACTTAATAATTCTTCTCTTAGGAGCAAATGAGTCTTATTTTCAGTAAAATACAATGTTGCTCTTATTTGAAAAAATGTGCTACTACCTCTGTCCACTAAGATTGAGACATGAAGAAGTGCCCTTTTTGTCTTAAAAAGGGAATACACCTAGTTAATAATTTTCTTGTAAGAGTGAATGAGTTCTGTTTTCTTGAAAAAGATGGTAGTGCTATTTGAAGAAATGTGTCATATTTCACTCCTACTTTTGAAAATTTCCCAAGAAAATAGAGAACATGGATCCCATGCATGTTACTGCTTATCGATTTTCCCCTCAAATCTGCAGATGAAGGAAGTGATGTCGACACTGATACTGATATTGATCCCATGCATGCTGGTATGTACCATTGGAACTCCGATGATCAGGAAGAGGATGACAACGGATGGGAAGAAGGTGTAGGATCTTGGCGAAGGTGGTCATTGAGTTTGCCTGAGAGCACTTGGAGCAGAGTGGGCATCCTCTCTGCAGAATCTGAGGATGTGGAGTATCTGGACGGCCATGAGCTTGATGAATTCGCAGAGCATCTTGCCGAAGCTGATGGGTTGAGAAGAGGAGCACCTCCAGCAGCAATCTCTGTCGTTAACAGCTTGCCATGCGTTGTTATTAAAGACCGTGACCAGCTCGATAGTTTGGTTTGTGCAATATGCAAGGATTCACTCGTTGTTGGGACAGTTGTGAATCAACTGCCTTGTTCTCACCTTTATCACCCTTGTTGTATCTTTCCATGGCTAAGTTCAAGGAACACGTGTCCTCTTTGCCGTTATGAGCTCCCATCAGACGATCAAGACTATGAGGACAGAAAACGCGTGAATGAGTTTATAAGCAGTGAAATTCAGCCGCATGAGATGAACGGAGATCATTCCTCAGATGTGTTGGCAGCTAATCCCGGCAATGTGATTTCTCATGTTGGAAGAGAGGAAAGAGAAGTAGATACCAGTACAAATGGTGGAATGGTCAGGGGGAGATGGTATTTGCTAGCTGTTGCTGCAGCACCTGTTATAAGTGCTATCAGCATTGCCCTTATGCTGTGGCTGGGCAACCCAATGACAGAGCCAAGGACGTGCAGACCACCTTCAAATCATCCTTCACATTCGCTAAGAGTGAACAACAGGGGCAGGAAGTGGTGGTATCCTCTTTAAAATCTTTGATTGATAGGCACATCCACCAAGTTGGTCTCTTTTTTCCTGCTTAATAATTGTTGCTCCCTTGAAATAAGTTTTCACGTATATATTGTAATGCTGTGTTATAAGAGCACATGCGAATTTAAGGCACAAGAGAGCTAATTGCAGAATATCTACTTTTTATTTTTTTTAACGCTGGTGTCCAGGAGGACCTGGACCATGTTGGCCCGCACAATCCTATGGGCATTGGAGTCAACTATGAGGTAACTTCGAGTGATGACCCTGTAGGGAATTCAAACTAGCAAACTCATAGAACAGTTAATCCTGCTAGTCTGTAACATGTCCCGGAAGGTTCTGTGGACAACAGTTAACCTTTGATGCACAACAGTTAATCCTGTTAGTCTGTAACATGTCCCGGAAGGTTCTGTGGACTGGGGTGTTTGTAACATGTTTTGATATGCAGTAATCTGTAATCATGTTAGGGATCATATCTGTCTTTTTTTTTAGTAGAAGGAAGTGCATCAAAGAAAAATTTGCTCAGGTTATTTTGTTGTCAGGGGCACTACAACTTTTAAAATTAATTAATTTGTTGTTGGATTTTAAGAGTGTGAATAGTAAATATAAAGTTGAAAAAGTAGGAGAGTAAATCAGAGTAGGAAAAATGATCAAATAAATAAGAACTTGTATGTAACTTTTGATATCTTGATTTGTGTAATTACTTTTTCGAGTTGAATTGACTGAACTTGGTGTAGTGGATTATTTTAACTAAGGAGAATCTTTTCGAAAAGGTTAATTTTACTTTTTCCACAATTCAGCCGATTGGTCAATTTAAGTGTTATCAAATGGGTTCTAAGTAATGTTGGAGTTATTTTTATGACTGAATTGGATGAAATTGATGGAGATGACAGTTTTAGCTATATTTTCACATATTATTTTCTTTATTTTATCAATAAAATTTATTTTAAATAGAGCATTTTTTTACAACTAAGCACATTCAATCAATTGAGCCATTTCACACATAATTTATCAATTCACCCGATTTCAACCAATTACCAAATGAGCTATTATTATTTTGCATTCTTCACATTTTCACGTTAATAAAGTTATTGCATGTCATACTTCAACTCTTTAATTTTTTTATTAGCACTAGATGGTTCTAGATCTTGGCAGATTAATATTGACTCTCAACAATACACTTAAACATTTGAGAAAAGTAAATTTGAATCACTCGAACACTCCGATTAGGGATGGACTCGGGCTGGTCCGGTTCCGGTTCCGGACCGGGCTCGGGCAGGCTTTTTTTGTAGAATCATGGGCCTGGAACTGGCTCGGGGTGATACCGGGTCTGGTCCGGGTCAGGCCTACCCGGCTGGGTTGTGGACCGGACTATTTATTATTATTATTTTTTTTAATTCAGATTAGTTGGACATAAAAAATTTAAATTGTATTAATTTGAAATATGTAGTACAATTGGAAATTGAGCAAAAATTACAACATGAAATACACTTTTTAATAAATAAGAATCAATCAGAATTTCCGCCATCTTCAGTTGTTTTTTCCATAAAGTGGCGGGTGGGTTCAATGTTAATTTCTTGAGTTCTACGTTTGGCCTTCAACCAATCGTGGAAGCAAACAAGCGTCTCAAGAGAGTTTGCGCTCAATCTCGTTCTATAATCCGTTAGGACGTTACCGGCCGCATTAAACTCTTGTTCCACAACAACTGTTGATACGGGCATTGCTAGCACTTGCTTAGCCATCTTTGATAAGATCGAGAACATTCTCTCTTTTTCCTTTCACCACTGAAGAACGTCAAAGTCATCCCCTTCTTCATACTCAACAGGAAATGTTAGATACAAAGAAAGCTCGTTGATCGAGCTTTGTTCATTAACCGAAGTTGATTTACTTTTTTTCATAAGATTGCCAAATGCAGATTTCAAAATTGATTTTCCTTTAGATGAAGAAGATGTTCGTGGCGGGGGAGGGGGTGCGTTACCATATTGTGCATGAAACTCGTTAAATAATTGATATAATAAATTACTAACCTCTTGAAATTGTTGTTTCGGGTCTATAGCCTTGTCGTCGTACATAGGCAATGGACCAAAAAAAGAAGCATAATAGTAATCTAAACATTGCTCCAAAGCAGCAACTCTAAAACGAGGATAAAGAATAAACGCAATACTATATATATGCGGAATATAGGAATAATATTTTAAAAACTTTTGTTTCATGAAGTCACAAAAATAACTAACGTAAGCGGCATCAGCAAATTCACAAAAAGCGCCGGCGAGATTAACATCTTCAACAAAAAATTGGTTTGCGGTAGGTTTATAAACACGACTAAAAGTTTGAGTTGCATTATTAAAATACACCAAAATATTCAAAACTTTTTCACAAGTGTCGATGTCGGTCGGGTTTATAATATAGTTAGCATATTCTTTTAAAAAAGCAGGAAAATGGTTTTTAAATCTAATAAGCACCTTAATTAAGTTATAAGTACTATTCCAACGAATAGACAAATCTTTAGGAAAAACACAATATTTGACACGTCTTTCTTTCAAATAATTTCTCCATTGCATCTTAAGTTGAGAACTAGCACAAATAAGTTTAACCCCCCCCCCCCCCCCCCCCTCACCACCTCCATAGCATCTCCCAACGCCGCTAGGCCGTCCTTCACACATAAATTTAAAATATGACATGCACAACGCTGATGAAAAAACCTACCCATCAAAGAAGATGAACCACACAATTCACGTAATCTAGGAATAACAACAATATTATTAGTAGCATTATCAAAACCAATTGCAAACACCTTATTAATCAAATTATACTCAATTAAAATACGCTCAATGAGAATATAAATATTATCACCGGTGTGTCTATCATTAAATTCATGAAAAGCAAGAACACGTTTATGCATACACCAATCATCATCAATATAATGTGCGGTCAAACCCAACTAATATAAATGATGATGAGTATCCTCCCATATATCACTACATATACTAACACGTCCATCAAAGTTTGCAAAAAACGTTTGTAATTTTTGCTTTTCCAAAACATATTGCCTTATAACTTCTTTTTTAATTGTTTTGCGACTATAGTTTCGAAATTGGGGATTTAAAGAACCTTGAGCATATTCTTTTAAAGCAAGACTTTCGGAAAAAATAAAAGACAAAATTTCTTCAACAATTAAATGAGACATACTAGTCAAATGTCTTTGATCATCATAGGAGAAATTACCAAAGAGTTGGCCAGTTGTAAACCTTGAAATTTGTGTTTGCCTTCCCTTGCCTTTGTCCGATTTCACATATTCCGCCGGGTGCTTGGCCTTAAGATGCCTTGTGGCGCTCCCGTACCCTCCAGAAATTCCCAAGTTATACTTTTTGTTGCAATGCTTGCAAGTGGCGTACCATATCTCGGTTTCGAGGTCTTTAACTTTTGTAAAATTTGCCTTAAAGACAGATTCAGATTTCCCACCGGCTTGGGAAGAAGTAGCCACTTCCGCTTCCTCGTCCTCATCATCCGGTGTGCCATGAACCTCGTCCTCGCCCGTTCACGGATCCCTCTCCTCCGCATCATCATCCTCAAGCTCTTCTTCGTCAATGATTTGCGGGATGTCTTGTTGACGAAAAAACTTCCTTGATTTTGTTGCAATAGTTGTTCTAGTTGCTCATAGATACTTTTCACAACATCCAAGTTGTGAAAGGAAAATATTAGATAGACCCCACTTACTAGTACTATCATTAGTATTTCAATTGCCAGTTAGTTCTCTGAATTTAACAATGCACGCTAGAGCAGGATCAAACTCACAAACTTCCGAGGCAAAGGCAAAATGGCAGAAGTAGGGCCGCCTCGAGTTTGAGGAGTGACTTTACATCCATAACGTATGAAGAGAGTCTGTTATGCCGCAATCCGTATAAATCTAAAGTCTACCAGTTGTAAAGTATATAGACTTATGAAAGTCCGTATAAATCTATAAAAATCCATATAAAAGTCTACCATAAAGTCATTCATATTAAAAGTCTATGGACTTTATTAAAAGTCCATGAATTAAAAGAAGTCTATCAGAATCCATATACAATACACCCCCCGAAGACTGACGAGCACTTTGTCACGGTGCGTCAAAATAAATTCAATACTAGCACTAATACGTAGTATAGCGTAGTAGAGTTCGTATCCACAGGGAAACGAATACTTTTCTTTTTATGAAACTTAGTAAATAAAGAGGGGATTTGGATTGAGTGATTTAATTTAATTAAAAACTAAGATGAACGACTTATATGAGACTTAATTCAAAGATAAAAAGGACTTGGCATTGCTTCTTTCCACTTGTTGATATATTTTAGTCGATCATTGTTATATCTATAACTTATTCCCTCTCGAATACTCAATCGGGGAGTATATCCACTTCATTGAGGGTAGTTATTAACAACAACCGTTCATTAATAACCATTACTATTAATCAAATATAGAACAACGCCTTATACCGATTTATTAGTAGCATTTAATCTTTCTAACTCCTTGATGAAATCAATTGAGATTGATAACCTCAACACAACGGTTTCGGTTTAACCAACAAAATTAATCCCTCTTAAGTTTATTAACCACGACCATGCATTAATAAACCGAAGTTACTCACTTGTGAAACCATCAACGATTAACCATCGGTTCGTTGATCGTTTCTAGTAATAATTAATATATGAAACAAAACTAGTTAATCCTTTAAGTAATGTTCAAAATATTAATATATGAGTAGGAATTAATTAATATTCAAGGAAGAATATAATTAAAGAAGATGAATCCTACTATAATTAATATTGAGATGTTAACTAATTGTCATCTTAGCAACACTCCCCAACATTAATATAGAAGAAGAAAATACTACTCCAACTAATGTCAAGATGTTAACTAATTGTAATCTTAGCAACACTCCCCAACATTAATATAGAGATAGTATTAAGGAAAGAACTAATAATTAATATTCAAGGGAAGAGGTTAAGAAAATAACTCACAACTTTAATAATCAACACGCTTCAAGAGCAACACCAAGAAATGGAAGTTTAGCTCCTAATTTGGAGACTAAACATGCTATAAAAATATAAGAAATGCTATTCTAAACTGAGCTTAGGAGTATGGAAGAAGGGATGATTAAAAGTGAAGGAAAAGTGTGCTATTTATAGGTGTTTTCAACACCCTGGGGCGGATACCCGACCGGGTAAAGTGCCATACCCGACCGGGTATCAGTCAAAATCAAATATTTGCCACGTTCTGGTGATCTTCGCATGCCGGATTGTCCCCGGTCACTTCTCACCCGACCGGGTGAGGTAGTGGGCCCGACCGGGTCTAGTGATTTTCCAAGAAATTTCGTCTGTTAAATCAGACCCGACCGGGTGAAGTCTTCTACCCGGTCGGGTTTCAGCTCCTGGATAGTCCAATCTCCTTTTTCTTCACTTCAAAGTCCTCCTTTTCAACACCATAATTCCTAATTCTACTTTACAACTAATAAATGAAGTTTAAAATACAATTACGACTAAATTCACACAGATGTTTACAAACTAAATAAAACGGTAAACAATACACACAAATCAATCATAAAAATATAC